AAACAACGGCGAAAAAGCGTTGATCTCTCCCCAGAACCATGTTTTCGGGCGTCGAAACAACTTTTCGCCACACATTTCCTTCAAGCGACTTGCAATGTTTACCGATTACTGGCAACTCATTCATTGATCGATGCGTCTTAACGATCAATTCTCAGTAATCGTGCTCGCGAAAGGTAAGCATTTATTCATGTTTCTCACGTCGCTTTTGTGAACTCTTAACTAATTCACCAAGTAGTTCTAAACTTGAAAGGCCCTGCAAGAAACGTAATGTGGCTTTACATGTCTCGGGTTGTAGGTGACGAATTACGTACCGATACTCTCTATCCAGTGTTCTTATTTTAGACCGTCTATTGTATAGGTCAGAAGATGGCTGGTCTTGTTTGAGCTGATCTGTCCCAGTGAAATGCCTCGTTCAGGGATGAAAATATTCCTTTTCAGCTTCCCATACCCGAATCACGATTATTTCCTGAGGGTCAACCTCAACGTAACCGAGAGCTTAGCGTTGTGAGACAGAAAGAGCGCTAGAAATAGACTAGGTAGATACAAGTCAGGAAAGTGTTAATTAAACGGTAGCGAATGCAAGTAAAAAAAACAAAACTCTGGTCACAGCATTTCGGGGACGGCGGAGCCGGGGGGTCTGGGGGGCTTTAGCTCCCCCCCCCCCATTCCCCCAATTTCAATAAAAAAAAAAAATACATAAAATAATAGTTTTACAAATATCTCCAGACCTGTACGAGTTAGCGCCCGCTTTTAAGCCCCTCCCCTCCCCCCTCCCCCCCCTTCAATTCAAAATACGCTCCGCCATCCCTGCATCTGGACGTTATCGTAAACTTTGCATTTCCGGTGTTTTATTCCTCTTGAAAGAGGTGGAATGCGTTGAGACTTGTATTTGGAACATGGAACTCATTTTACCATTCAGCAAACCCGCGATTCATGAATGGTCATGTATGGAAAGCTGAAGTACGAATCAGTATTGAACGAGGTTTTTCAAAGACAGATTGCACGACCAAACAAATTTTTACATGAGGGTCGTCGAGTTCTTAGTCAAAGGGAGGGTATGATAGCAGATAACCCGGTTTCGCTTTGGGAGGTAGGGGGCAAGCACGAGGGTAGGGTCTATTTAGTTCTCTGAACACACGCCTTGTCAGACGGATTTCCGTATGATGTTGGCAGAGGCATTGTAATTTGTAAACCTTTTTGCATTTTCTCCTTGTAAGTAAAACTAAGCAAAAAGGAAAAATTTTGGCCAGCTATGGAGAGTGAAAGTTATATAAGCTTTAAACACAAATTAAGTGGACAGAAACAGAGCGCTTTACCCTTCCACCCCTGGTTTCTTTTCATTTTAGGAGATCTTACCTCTAAAAGCCCATTTTTTACTCCATTCTCTTTGCCTGATCCAGCTTTGGTTTTCGCTTCGCTTGTAGTGAAACCAATTTTAAGTTCCTTCATCAGAGAACTGAACTGTTTTAAACTCATAGATTTGTCGGTGCCATATTCTTTGAACAAACTATCAACAAAAGACTCGGCTGCCGGTCCATTGATGCTACGAGCGTCGTCATGAGAGAAAACGTGAGAATCTGTCCTCGGAATTAACGCCAAAAAGGACAATAAAGTTGCCACGCTGCAGACTTTCGCTGATTCCATCGAAGCGACGTTCACTCGATCAGTGCTACAGAGCTCACTGGGAAAATATTCTACAGAAGCGTTTATGCCACGCGTCAGTCACAGGGACGATTCACGAGACACTCAGCTCGGGTTGAGCGTGTTGTTACAAAATGAAGAGAAAATCTCGAGTTGTTTAAGGTTACAGTATACCTTCGGGTCGGCAATTTTCTTCAAATTTGGATTTTTGGGTCAAAATAGT